ACTAGTCCGCGTTTTACTAGTCCGCGTTTTACTAGTCCGCGTTTTACTAGTCCGCGTTTTACTAGTCCGCGTTTTACTAGTCCGCGTTTTACTAGTCCGCGTTTTACTAGTCCGCGTTTTACTAGTCCGCGTTTTACTAGTCCGCGTTTTACTAGTCCGCGTTTTACTAGTCCGCGTTTTACTAGTCCGCGTTTTACTAGTCCGCGTTTTACTAGTCCGCGTTTTACTAGTCCGCGTTTTACTAGTCCGCGTTTTACTAGTCCGCGTTTTACTAGTCCGCGTTTTACTAGTCCGCGTTTTACTAGTCCGCGTTTTACTAGTCCGCATTTTACCAGTCCGCGTTTTACCAGTCCGCGTTTTACCAGTCCTCGTTTTACTAGTCCTCGTTTTACTAGTCCGCGCTTTACTAGTCCTCATTTTACTAGTCCAGTCCAGTCCAGTCCAGTCCACGAAATACCATATGCCTAGATTTTGGCGTGCACAGAAAGCTGCGTAAGCGTCAGTTGCTCGACATACCGGCGTGGCCCGTGCGACGAAATACAAGGGATTGGAAAAGTTTCAGTTACAGCAAATTATACAAAAAATCTACACTGGTAGAAAGATTTAAGCTTTAAGATTTAAAGCGACATTTCAATGCCTGCAACCATTATGTTTTATCATGAACCTTGCAAACTTTTAAACACGTTCTCTTGTGATACCTGCGAAAGTATTCAGTATAATTACCGGCAAGACTTTTGCGGACAATCTGATCGATTTCTCTTACATTGTGTGCTGAGACTGAAACTTTTCACCACGGGCAAAGCTTCGGCTCCAAAGCACTCTTCAATCTGATTGGGCAGAAAAAAAAACAAAGATTTTCTGGCACCAATCAGATGCCAGAACGACTGCGACCGTTTGGAACTAGTCTTGTAAGACAATGTCCCCAGGGGCTTTTCTGCCCTTAACTTGATATCGACTCACAGCCCCTGGGTCTTTGAGGATGGATACCCAAGTATCACTCACGTTTTGAAGAAGATACAATTTTCCAATAAAAAGTTACAGGAGAAGATACAGCAGCTTGTAGAAGAAGGTCACATCTTCAAACAAAAGATGGATTAGGAGAAGATACACCAGCTTGAATCAAAACTAGAAGAAGAGGATCATTACAAGGAGGACGTGCAAAAAGCCTCCAAACAAGCTGCAAAATCATGCAGGGGAAATGGTCCAACCTCGGGAAAAGACGGAAACGGAAATGAATCTGCAGTGCCACTCACAGTTGAAAGGTATGACTGAAATGAAGGCGGAAGACCAAGACTTTTCGCGAGTGAAAGAAGTGGATGGCAGTGGCGAGAGACTGGAGAGAAAGGTGACCGGGCCTGGTTCACATTTGAGAGAATCGGATTACAGAAAAGAGAACACGGAGGCGACTGCTATTGCCGAGATTCATTCGCTGCTGGTAAAAGAAACGCATCATCAAAAAGCGAACATAAAGAAAGAAATACAGGACGCAACGAAGAAAAGTGATAAACGTTTTAAGACAATAGAGAGAAAGGTAGGAAGAGAAGAGAGAGAGAAGACAGTGGCCCAGTTCCATTCTCAGTTCGAAGAAAAGGATCATCAAATGGAGAACTTAGAGCGAGAAATACAGGGTGCAAAGAAACTGTTTAAAGAAATTGGTGAAAGTGTGGAGGGAATCTAGGAGAAGGTGGCCGGGCACGTTTTAGAGTTGGATAAGATGAGTTCTAGTAAGAAGATGATAGAGAAAACGAATACCCAGTAGTTCCATTCACAGCTGGTAAAAGAAACGAATCGTCAACGAGAAAAGATGGATAAGGAATTAAAGGATTTAAAAGAATTGATGAAAGGAATTTCTCAACACACCGAGGAAGCGGAAAAGAACGAAACCGATTCTAGCTTACCGTCAGAACGGGTCAATTTTTCGGTGTTTGTTGAAGTGTGAAATATTCAACTTTGTCTAGACAAACTGTCGCTCTTCATCATTTACAGTTATGGGAAATCCGTACTGTCAAGCCCCGACTTTAATTTGAACGCGTGAGAAGGCTATACAACCAACGCTAATACTTAACATGCTAGTAAGTGGGTCAAACACCATTTCCCTACGCTAGGCTTGGCCTGATCAAAAGTAATCAATATCTCTCAACAATAAAGAAAAATTAATTAACAGTAATCAGGAATGCTAATCAAAACAAAGAAAAATATTACTTTGGAGCGAAAGAAAAATAAAAGTTGAAACACGCTGATTCAAAATCGTAAATGTTTGTCTTAAGTCTCGCAAGTATTTGGTCGAGAGAGCGCCGCGCGTTTTCTGAATCAGCTCATAGAAAAAGGGAACTCAAAACTACTGAAATCTCGAACTACTTTGGATAACTTCATTGTACCTTTTATAATTCTAATAATTGTTAAAGAAAAAAAACTATTTCACACAGGCTTAGCCTGGTTGTGACTTTAAGGTAAGACAGATCAATCTCACCAAATCAATTGTAACTTTTTTTCATTTAAAAGTCAACCTTCCTAATCCTAGTCATTGCTTAAAACATTACTTTGTTCAGGCTTAGCCTGGCATACTTAAAAAAATCAAAAATTCCACAAAATTTATAATAGATTTTTCATGTACCTTCAGCTGAAGTTTTACATAAAATACATTAAACGACACAGATTCAAAATGACTGGCAAGTTGATGATCAGTTTATGCCTTATCCATATTTTGGGAAACTGATCAGTGACTATCTCTTCTCAAAGAAAAGAAAAAATCATTTTCGTTTTCGACATAGCTTATACAAGTCTTTATTCACCCTTAGGAACGTTTGACCCACCAATATACCCACAAAAGCCACTGGGAAAATAGCCGCGATTAAACATGTTCACTACCAAATAATTAGGCATTTTACAAGGACTTATCCAAGCCTGGCGGGTACAATTGGACCATCAATTATCTGACATGCGAATAAGATATCAACTCGCCTATTTAACTTGTTGACCTCCCGTTGAAACCTTACATTCAGGTCGCCCAGAGTAAGATGAAAAAGGGCCATATATTCTTCATGAGTGGAGAAGAATGCGCTTTGGTTCTTGACTTCATCACCTACATCTCGCATTTCCTTCTTCAATTTTTCCTCCAGGAATCTTCGCGATTCTTCCAACAGTAAATGAAATCAATCAATTAATATTACCGTCTTCATGATTCTCTCTACGCGCGAATCAATTTCTTCCAGACGGAACTGAGGGAGGCCTGTCTCTAACCGAAGAGCTTATCGCTTTCGTCAAGCAGTGCTTTCCCGGAATTGTAATTGAATAAATGGCAGACTGGCTAAGGCATTGCTATATTTTCTTTGCACCCTTTTAATGAATAATCGACATCTCGATGAAAGGGACGCTCACAATGTTAACCTCTAACTTGATGAATAATTTGCTGCTTATTATTTAGTTTCACGGCCGTTAAAAAATAGATAAGTTCATTCTTAAAAATAAACAAAAGATGAATTTAAAAAAATCGATAAAAAACAAATGAAGCCGGGGACTCGATTGTTCCTCAAGGATCTCCGGGTAACTTCGGAGACCCTCGGATAGTTTTCGGTTAATCCTCGGAGTATATATTCGGAGCTCGTACACTCTTTGGAAAAATCTTGAAAAAAGAAAAAAAGAAGATTGAAAAAACAAGCCTTCAAAAATTCAGGGCTCTAGCTCCGGGTAACTTCGGGAACCATCGATTAATCCTCGGGTTAATCATTGGAGTATATACTTGTCAGGGTATTGCACCAAAAATATGTGACAGTGTGTTGTTGTAGAATTGGTGCCTCTTAGGGGTGAAAAAATTTTACATCATGCCTACAAACCAGGAACCACTGCGCACCGTGAATGGTCAACACCTGGAGCCCTCCCGTCAACACTTGTAACAGCGCATCTATCTGTAGCCCGACTTACGATCTTAGATCGTCTTGTCCTTCTAAGCTAAGTTTTGCCATTTTACGCAGCCGACTAGAGTCACGGCGAAAACATCATAAAAGTTATCAGCACTGACGGTTTCCTTGAGGTGTCCGCTGACCAGTAAAATACTATATCGTGCCCTAAAAATCGTATTTCCGAGGTGCCCCGAGGTGTAAGCTCGATTTCCACCGGTTCCCGAGCATCGGCTAGTAATCGAGCCTACCCAAAGTGCGTTGAGGTACTTCTGGAATGTCGCCGAGAACACAACTAAGTTGGGTTTAAATTTAAAAGGTGACCTGTAGGAAAAAAAATATATTCATCGATCTCTTCGTTTGATAGGATGTTTTAGAGTACCATTGTCATTTCAACCAACCACAATTAGATCCTAATCACATGGCTCTAACGGCCGATGTCAGAATGAAACACATTTGTACTTGTTGCTTCTTCTTTTACGTGTTGTTGACGGTTGATTTTTTCGTTGGCGTGTCGCTGGTGTTGTGTCACAGAGATGGGAGGATATCGAATAGGAGAGAAAAATCGTGCAGAAATAGAAAGGGATCCTCAACTTCGCTGTCTTATCTGCCTTCATTGTGGGTATTTGTCGAAAGATCCGACGGTTTTGACGTGTGGACATCGTTTATGTCAAACATGCGTCGAAATAAGTTGTGTCTCGGGGTAAGTGGACAAAGACTGTAATAGTGTTTACCTGTAAAATTATTCCCCGGTGAATCGAAAGATTACATGTGATGGGGTAAATGAGAACCACTTTATTCCGCTTGCTAAACAGTGAAACGTCACTGAGTTAGGAAATTGCTGGTTTCTTCTGAAATATGTTACAAATGTGTGTAAGTTTCTGTCGGAGAGTTGCAGCGCAAAACGAAGGTTAGTCTGCCCATATTCTAATGGACTTTGAAAGAAAGGCAAGGAATGCTATGAAAAAAAATCGAGAAAATCATTGAAACATTAGTTTCAGACCTCTTTTCCCGCGAAATCAGTTATTCGCGCGAGAGTTCAATGTTCGCTTCGGTTTTCTTTTATGCAAATTACATGAACCTCCAACCGCACCAAGGGCTTTCCTTTTTGTGGCTTATGAAGACGGCGAATTTCAATGATTTGAAATATTCAGCGGCGTTTGTTGATCTCATAGCGTTGTAGCTAGTCGAGCGAAGATAGGCTGATTTCGCACCACTCCAGCTAGGACTAAGCGCCTAGTCGATTTTGGCTCTATTTGCTTTTCAGGTCTAACATATTATATTTTCTTTTGTAATATCTAGTTCTTCAGTGTGCCCCATTGATGGCCATGATGTAAATTTGGACGAGGTAAAGTTGAACTTATCAAATGTTCAGTAGTGGTGCTTGCATATCACCGACGAAACCTAAATGTATGCAATCGTTCTTCTTTTGGCGGGGTTTTCTGCAGCTATATTATATAAAATAGGATATAAACTCCCTCGAATTTTCATTTTTGTTTGAAAGAACTACATGAGTATGGGTTGCCCAATTATTTTCATATCATAAGAATTTAGAAAAATAGTCACCAAAGTGTAGTCTCACGGAAAATTAGAGTAGGGCCAAGGCCTGCCCTACACGTTTCATACGAAAGTGATCATTTGACTTATTAGGGGTTGTTTAAAGTTATCATTAAAGGAAATAAATCATAGTTTTTCAATTTCCTATAAATTTCAAATCTAGTTATGAAAATAAAGAACTTTTGGTCTCTGAAAATATCATTGTGACATCTTGTTTACTTTAGGAGATGTAAAGCAAAATATAATTTGAGAGAAAAATGGAAGGTGCAAGATTAGTGACAGTGCATGTCAGCTTCTTCTTGTCACCTAATGAATGACTACAAAACCATTATTGATTTTTAATGATGCATTGTAGAGTTTTGCACAGTAATGCATAGTTTTGCTCAGTAATGCAAAATGTTTGTGTACAAATCATCTCCTTTAATTGCAGAAATTTAAAGAAATCATGAAAGGAAAAAATATATTGTTAAATGCATGTGCAAATTTAAGTCTGTTGCTTGTGGATGCAGATTATTTCCTTGAAAGAAATGACTCAAGGAATGCTTTGAGCTGATGTTCCATATGCTTAAAACTTTCTACCTATCCAGTTTTTTTCAAGAGTTACTGTGAAAACCCTTACTTCCAGCTACTTCAAAACATAGTGTGAACCAATGAAATGATGTGCCTGATTAGTGCCAGTGTATGCATAATTAGGATTTATCAACAGAGTTGAACTGGTCAATTGGCCACCGTAACGATTACAAAAGCTGATGTCTCGAGCGTTAGCCCTTTGTTGGAGTGAATAGAGGAATTGTGGGTTGTGTGTGCTTTTAAAGGTGGAAAATGGAGCTACATTACTGGTGGGAACATGGCAACGAGAAGCATTGCCATATACCCTGCCATGCTAATGGCAAATTTCTACCTCACAGGACATATCAAGAACTTATCTACAACGTTGCCATGTTCCCACCAGTAATGTAGCTCCATTTTCCACCTTTAAAAGCATGCACAACCCACAATTCCTCTATTTGCTCTGACGAAGGGCTAATGCTCAAAACGTCAGCTTTTGTAATCGTTACGGTGGCCAATTTACCATTTCAAATTTGTTGATATATCCAAATTATTTCGTTACCCCCACCAATGCAACCCTAAACGGTTTCTTTTGAAACTATCAGCCTTTATTCATATGCATAATTAGGGTAGGTTTGGTCCATCTTAATTATATCCTAAAGAAGCGTAGTGACGCATCTTTTTTAACGTATTTTTTGAAACAGGTGTGGGTAGGGAACATGTAAGGGAAGTTTAGAAAAATTTTCTGATTATTATTTTTTTTCTGAGGAATCAGCAGAGGTTAACGTCCTCTCAATTTCAAAATTTTTTCACAATAGTGCCACCAAGATAAGCATGCAACAGTGCAAATAAATGCTCTTGATATGTCCTGTGAGGTAGAAATTTGCCATTGGCATGGCAGGGTATGGCAGTTGGAGGTTAGTATATTTTTCTCTGATCACATTATTCTATTAACATTAGTTCAACTATGTCTTCAAAACAACTATGACCTTTAAATACCTGAGTGGTTATTCCCAGTTTCTTAGCTCTAAGAGATGAAAGAAGTGCTTGTCCATTGGATGGCATGTTAACCTTAACCCCCCCCCCCTTCCCGTCTTAAAATATGCTTGGCTTCCCCAACTTGTACTTAGCTTTACTCTGTGGTGGCATCAGGTGCACTGAGTTTTTGCCATAGCCTGCTTTTGATCAAAATTAATGTTCTTTGAACTTTGAAAGTATTATATAATTTATATACTAGTTACATGTAATGAACAAAGGAGAATTTACACCAGCTGCCACTGTTAGAATTGTTTAAACCCTAGTAATAACCACCAGTTGTAATGGAATAAGAAAGATGGTTGATTTTTAAGCTCAATAATGAACTGAAAAAGACCTTCTTTTTCTGGTGGCTAGCAATTGGGACAACGAAACTTTGGGTTCCAATTCTCATTAAACCACAGAGATCTGAAGTTCCATGGTGTGATTTTTTGTGAAGACTAAAATTATTTCCTTGTTCCATGTTTGCAACATAACAATAAAAAAATACTTAAGGCCAACTCTTCCATTAAGTACTCAATCTAGAGATGAAACATCGGTTTGTTCTAATGCGACCAAACCCAGTCAATAAGAATTTTATGATATGACCACTAAGTGTTGAAAGTTTCAACCAAAATAGGAGGCAATAGAAGGGCACTAGCAGCTTACTTTTTTGAGTCAGAACAGGAAACTCCCAATTCCTTAAAACACCAACTGAAGTCTTTTTTCTCATTTCTGTTCTCCTTTAGGTGTTTGCAATAAAGTGACCTGAGGGCAGCAGGGCCAGACAGCTTTTTCCGCTCACATCAACCCATCTGGCCCTGCACACATCAACCTATTCTATGGTTTTCTGTGGGATTGTGAGAGGGGGGCCAGACAAGTCATATGATAAATTAAAGTCACACATTACCTGTATTATTCCTGAATAGGATCATATGAAAGAATTTCACAATGGTCACAAAGAGGAAGGTGCAAAGGTAACTCAAGGGATCATCCACTGTCATTGTCTCCTTGGCTTAACAAAAGCTAACCCAAGGACATCCTAAAACTACATATTAAGTAATCAAAAAGATTGTAGTGATTTAGCTGGTTGCTATAGGTCAGTAAAAATTCAGATGAAACATATTTGTGAACTTGTAATCATTGGTCTTGTTTCAAAGTAAGGTTACTCTTCTGTAAAAAAGCCAAGCTTCCAACTGTCTGACTTAACTTAAAAGCTAACCCAGGTACAACCTGAAACTACTTAATTGTTAAGTAATCAAATACAATACAGTGATTTATACAGTTGCTACAGGTAAGTAAAAAGTTAGGGAAACATTTCAAGATCAAGGAAAAGTAAGGGACTTTAACTCTGATAGTCAGGAAAATTTACATCTTTGATTGAAGTCATTTGAAAAAAACGTGAAGTCCTTCATCTTGTCTTGGCTGTCTTCATGATGGAAGTTGGTGACACTTAATTATTCCTTTCCATTTGTGATGCAAGTTCAAGTTGGTTTGTGAATGAAATCAGTATTTTCTTAGTTTTCAATTATTTGGTTCATGTCATGGTCACAAAATCTGTAGAGTACTGTTTAATGACATTGAAGGACAAGCCTAGGCTGGCTACTTTCTGAGGGCATTACATTTGTGGGTGGAGAGGATCAATGACTGAGGGGAGCTTAGAGACCATTGTAAGGACTTGTTTTTAAAAATTTACATTTCCGTGGGAAAAGCAAAGGAATTTTGAAAACCTATGACTGTAATACAAAATTTTATGCCAACAGTCACAATTTCCCAACATTTTCAACACTTAACTCAGTTCTTAAAAACTGGGCATGAACATTTGACTGAGACTAGTACTGATTGTTGTTTTTAAGACTATGCACCAGGATGGGGAACTTGAAAGGTTAAGGCAGGAGCAACAGGCTGTAGCAAGGAAGATCATGGGCTTTGAAGAAACGGTGATCATTTGATAGACTGATCTAAAAACAGTTATACTTTCATGTGAAAAACGGAAATCAGAGTTCAAGCAGACAATATTGGCTCAATTATTTGTACTGCTCTTATACATGTATGCAGTCCATGAGCAGTAAGCCACCAGCTAAGGACTACACATGCTAAAGCCTTTAATGTATTTAGTCAAAATATCTTTAAGATTGTGCCAGGCATTGCTACTTTGATGAATTTCAATATCTGTTTTGAGAACTAAAAGTAAACAGAAGACATTGCTGTAAAAACAGTAGTCCTGAGAATTCATCCCTTCAGGTATTTTGATATGACTAGCTAGGGCAGAAGCTTCACTTTCAACAGATGGAGCAGTTACCATACCTTTGAAATTGTAACCTTTAGTGGATGTTGTTTGTATTTTCAAAAGCAAGTGGTTCTTGCATGTAAATAAAGGCTGATAGTTTCTAAAGAAACTGTTTGGGGCTGTGTTGGTGGGGGTAACGAAATAATTTGGATATATCAACAAAGTTGAAATGATAAATTGGCCACCATAGCGATTACAAAAGCTGATGTCTCGCGCGTTTAAGCCCTTCGTCGGAGCAAATAGAGGAATTGTGGATTGTGTGTGCTTTTAAAGGCAGAAAATGGAGCTACATTATTGGTGGGAACATCAAATTCTCCAAACGGAGGTAACGAAATAATTTGGATATATCAACAAAGTTGAAATGATAAATTGGCCACCATAGCGATTACAAAAGCTGATGTCTCGCGCGTTTAAGCCCTTCGTCGGAGCAAATAGAGGAATTGTGGATTGTGTGTGCTTTTAAAGGCAGAAAATGGAGCTACATTATTGGTGGGAACATGGCAACGAGAAAAACATTGCCATGTTCCCACCAATAACGTAGCTCCATATTCAGCCTTTAAAAGCACACACAACCCACAATTCCTCTATTCGCTCCGACGAAGGGCTAACGCTTGAAACGTCAGCTTTTGTAATTGTTACGGTGGCCAATTTACCATTTCAACTTTGTTGATATATCCAAATTATTTTGTCCTTATATGTAGCCTAACAGCTTTTCTCTTTCTACTTACTCAATGGGGCTGGTGATTATACTACCATTTTAAGGCAGTGCACATATTCATATCTATAATTAATATAACCTACTACTTTTTACCCGAGTCATGAATGAATTTTAAAAATTTTTGGATTTTTTTTTTCATTTCTAGCTGGGAAAGCAAGGTTTGACAATCAATAACTTACAACAACAACTTTCAGCTTTTTGTGATGCTTTTGTGAAAACCCAGGGCCATGGTCAGTTAGACAAAGAAGTAAGGGACTTAACATTAAAGATACAAAAAAGATTCATGATATAAAGTTAATGAATCAATGTTCTTGAAATGTTTGTCAATTTTACTAATTAGGATGGTTATTTTATGAAGCTAGTTCTTATATCAATTGAATTTTATGCTTTATTTATAATGTTTTATTTGTTTCCTGTACATGCTGTGAAACAATTGTTCAAATTTTTTATCAGGGTTTCATCACTTTCTGGGACGTATCAGGTGGTATCTGGTTTCTCCCCTTACCACGAGGCCATTTTACAATTGTTTACTTAGTTGCCAAGCCTTTAACTTGGAGTGGGACTGAAGTTGACCTTTTTGTGATAGAGACCAGTATCTAGTTAGCATGATGACAAATTAATTTACGTTTGAAAAGCAGCAATATTTGTATCATAACAAGGTCACCTTAGCCTCACTCCTCAAGGGGGTGTTACGAAAACTAAGACCCTCGAAAACTAAGACCTAAGACCTAAGACCTGTCTTAGTTTTCAATATTATGAAAACTAAGGCCCCCTAAAATCAAATCCATTGAAATAT